GCTTCAGTTCCAGTCAAAGTTGGGAAGGGCCACTTAAAATCACTGACTATAAAACGGCCACCTTGTCACTTACCAGACGTTTCCAGGAAATATTTTGCATTCATTAACATTCTGCCTTGGGGCTTCAGTTCTAGCTGAAAAAAAGGAAGGAAGATGTCAGGATAAGACCAGAAATTGACCATTCCAATTGCTGACTGGAAAGATGGCATAAAAATCTGAAATGAATTCATTTATTCATTCATTTATTATTTGAATTTATATCCTGCACCATGGAGGACATTAGGTTGAAAAGGAGGACATGGCTGGCAACCCTAACTCTGGGCAGCTAACAAGAATATAAAGAGATTTTTAAAAAAAGACACGATAAAAACAATTTAATACATAACAAGTAAGAAATTAAAACAGATGGCAGTAAGGTGGTGGAAAGGGTGATGGAGAGGATAGCAAAAAGGATGGTAAAAAGGGATGGTGAGATCCTAGTGCTCCGGAAAAACCTGGTGGAAGAACCAAGTCTTCCATGCTCGTTTCACCCCATCCAGCGAGGGTGCCAGGCAGATCTCCATGGGCAGGTTGTTCCACAGGCAAGGGGGTGACCACCGAGAAGGCCCCGTTTCTTGTTCTTTCCCTCTGGGCCTCCTTCGGGGTCAAGGCCCTCAACCTCCCTGCCTGTGAGGAACGGGTATTACAGACAGATCTGGCTGGGAGCAGGCGTCCTGATAGGTACTGAGGTCCTAAACCATTTAGGGCTTTAAATGTTATCATCATAACCTTAAAGGCAATGCGGAAACGAACCGGTAGCAATGAATGGCGGCCAGAGTGGGGGAGATATGCTGGAATTTCTTTGCCCCAGTTGTTAATCTGGCCACCGAATTTTGGACCAGTTGAAATCTCTGCATCAGACTCAAGGGTAGCCCCACGTAGAGAGCACTGCAGTAGTCTATTCTTGAGATTATGAGGGCATGAATCAGCGTCATGATGTTTTTTGATAGAGTCTTAGTGACATTCTGTTCTGGTTACCAAAGCTGCTCTCCCTCTGCTTACAACCTTGTATGAGAAGGGGTAGATGAAATGTCTAAAATGCAGTTCAGATGCAATTGTCGGCTTTTCAGAGTTCACCCAAAGACCTGCGATCGCAATTCATGTTTTCCAAATTCAGCTTGATAATAGATAGATCATGTGGGAATCCCCACTGTCAGAGAGTCTCGTAGCAAAGACTATAAAAAACTGTTGCATTAATCTGTCTAAGGGCTGGCCATGTCATTCCGTTGCAGCAAAGCAATGAAAAGCTGTTCAAAATTGTGAAGAGTAATTGCTTTATTATAACTGCTGAAAGCCTTGTGGGGCAGTGGTTAAATTCCAGTGCTGCAGTCAAGACTCTGCTCACTTAACCTGAGTTGGATTCCGACAGGCTCAAGGTCGACTCAGCCTTCCGTCCTTCCGAGGTTGATAAATTGCGTACCCAGCTTGCTGTGTACCTGCATAATTAAATTGCAAACTGTCCAGAGAGTGTTTCGAGCACGATGGGGCAGTATATTAGCATACACTTCATAACATGAGGTTCCACGGATTGCAATCCACCTCACCAGACGCACAGTGTAAGAGCCAGAGGTGGGCAAAATGTTATTGGACTACAACTCCCATGAGCCCCAGGAGCCAGCACTTCAAATGGTCAGGCATTCTGAGCATTGCTGCTCACAACAGCTGGAGAACTGTAACTTGTTCTTCATTTTAAGTCTGTTTTTCTTGCCATAAACTGACACATCGACCTGTCTGGAAACTATTACAAAGTGTAAGAAATTCAGTATACTACCAGTGGTTCCCAGAAATACATTACTATCAAATAAAAACAGAGAGAGAGAGAGAGAGAGAGAGAGAGAGAGAGAGAGAGAGAGAGAGTATTTCAAAAACATCCAATCCAACTGCATCATCATCATCACAGTTCAACACACTTCTTCATTCGGTTGTTGATTAAATTTGGGGAGTAAATTCCCCCCGGGAGGCATGCATGAATTCAAGCTCTTGCCACTTTTATTACTAATGATTATTATCTCATTCTCTCAGAGGTTTCTCTGTCACAGCAAAGATATTACACTTGCCTTCTACAGATTGAGTCAATGTGCTACAAAGGCCATATTTCAATTTTGCCATCAATAGGCCTTGTAAATGTGATGCATTGTCCATGCTGAGGATGGCTGGCAGCATTTATTACAGAGAGCTGCCTGTGCTTTTCCTCGCAACACACACACACACACACACACAGAGAGAGAGAGAGAGAGAGAGAGAGAGAGAGAACAAAAAAGTGAAAAAAAAAACAAAAAAAAAAACTCTACCCTGATTGTGCTGCTTTGGGAACCGGATAATTGAATTTACATCAGGATATTTATTAAAATTCTGTTTAAGCATTCTATATCTTGATCAACCTAAATTGTAGGACATGCAACAATGAGATCAAATTATAGGAAGCCAGATTTCGGTTGAATATCAGGAAAAACTTCCTAACCGTTAGAGAAGTACAACAATGGAGAGAACTCGAGAGGTGGTTAATGCTCCAACCCTGGAAGCATCCAAGAGAAAATTGGACAACCCTCTGTCAGATCTGCTTTGATTTGTGTTCCTGCCTTGAGCCTGATGGCTTTAGGGGTCCCTTCAATCCAATTATTCTATGATTCTGTGATACAAACCCCTCTGTTATGTTTAACCCGTGTTGGATTACAGAGCAATTTATATCAAAATAACAACAATTAAATTTAAACAATTAAAGCAATAAGCAAATAACATGATTAAATATGTTAGAAAAACAACATAAAATTGCAACCTCTTTTCAGTATTTAAAATATTGACTATCAAACTGCCTAAGGGCCACAGCACAGATTACTGTGAAGATGGAAGAAGCAGCTACCTTTGCCCCCATTTTACTCTAGAGCAAGTGCACAGCCCTGTCCACATCAGGAGCATGACTTAATGAGATAGTGGAAATGGAAGCTTGGGGTTAATAGTGGTGGGAATAGGGGAAATCCTTGTTATAGTTTTATCTGGTTCAGAATTACCACACTGTCATTTATGTTACAAAAGAGTGAAGCATCACTTAATGAATAATATTTTGCAATATAAATTAAAGGTGCTTTGGGCACAATCCAGATCAGGACCCTAGCAGAGTAGGGAGGACTGAGACTCACGCACCAGATCTTCTATTACTGTATTTTTCCATGTATAAGACTATACTTTTGTCTAAAATCTTTAGACTAAAAATTGAGGGTTGTCTTATACATGGAAGTGAGCTGAGGAGAAAAAACAAGTGGAGGGGAAAGCAGGGATCAAAGTGATCCTGCAGGGCTTGGATCCCTGCTTTCCTCTCCACTTGCTGAGCCTTAGCAAAAGGAAAGCAGGGATCAAAGTGCTGCAGGATCGCTTTGATCCCTGCTTTCCCCTCTGCTTGCTAAGTCCAATGGGGCTTAGCAAAAGGAGGGGGGAAGGATCAAAGCAATCCCGTGGTTGTATAAGGGGGAAAGGGATCAAAATGATTGTGCAGTCGTGGAATTGCTTTGCTCCCTTTCCTCCTCCTTTTGATAAGCTATGTGGGGCTTAGCACAAGGGTAGAAAGCAGGGATCAAAGCCATCCTGCAGCACTTTGATCCTTTTTACCCTACATTTTCTAAGCCCCACTTAGATTTCTTAATTTTGGGTTAGAAAAGAGTGGGGGGGTGTCTTATACATGGGGGCATTTTATACATGGAAAAATAGGGTACTTGAGATTTAAGAAGATCAGCATCAACACTGTCCTTGTGAATATGAGCCAACAGTGTGACATGGTTTCAAAAAAGGCCAATGCTATTTTGGTCTGCAATAAGAGAAATGCAGTCTCCAAATCCTATTCTCCACTGATTAGGCCTCATCTACTGTGTCCAGTTCTGGATATTGCACTTTAAGGAGGATGCCAACAAATTGGAATAAATTGTGAGGAGGGCAACAATCAGGGGACTGGAAAGCAAAATCTGTTAGGAATGACAGAAAGAACTGGGCATGTTTAGCCTTGAGAAGAATGAGACTGAGGGGATATTTATTTATTTATTTATTTATTTATTTATTTATTTATTTATTTATTTATTTAT